TGCAAATATGGGTTCAAGTTTTATCTGTCAGCTACTATTTTCACAGGAATCATTTTATGAATTTAATTTTTTTTTCTAAATAAAACTGGGGCTATTCAACTCACCTAAAAATGTAACTGCTGATGATTTCCTATTCTGTTTCATCTGTGCAACATCCCTCATGAGCTTCAGCTCCAGCTCAGGCAGCCCCCGTGATTGGTCCTCACCTGCCCTCCCCTTGATTTTCCATTCTGGAAGCATTCCCTGTGTTCATCACTGATAGCACTTAGTTTTTTGGGAAAGATTCCAAACGTTAACTTAAGAAATGGGCCTTGACTAGTATGCTACAGCCATGTAAATCTCTACTTTCTAGGCTTGGAGATCATTGACTTTTTGGGGTTATTTTCTGCTTGTAGTTTCCCCCAAAAGTGTTTGGTCATTAGTTATCTCCATGCAGCCCCTTCAAGTTCATTTAACTGTTTTTCAAAATGGTTGTATTTGGCCATTTCCCTTATTTGAGAACCTGCAAATATCCCTTCTTTGATTTCCGGTTCACTGATTCTTGGAAATTTATTTTTCAGATAAAGAAAACCTGCATTTTTTTCAGTCCATCGTCTTCACAAAATTTTTCATTAAACCAAGTTTATAATGTGCAGCGGTGGTAAGAAAACTTTCCTTCTTCAAATTGTTGGCTTGCCATATGATTTTTTCAGAAAAGGCAAACTAAGCATTTGGGTGATGCGCTAAGTATAAAATGTTTGGGAAAAAAGGAGCAGAAACAATAATGATATTTACCCAGTGACAGCATGGTCTGCTATGTATTGAGAGTTTCCTGGCATGACTGAATACGTCGGAACACTCCCCTGCCGCCCACCAAGTCGGTCCCAACGTTTTTAGCACGTGAACAAGGACGTGACACACAGTGTGCAGAAAGATCCAGCTAGTGACGTCTCCGTACCCTCTCCTCTTAATCTCATGTTGTGTAATTTAGAGGTTATAGGGAGCCATTGAAGCTTGTTGATTGCACAGAGGGACACAGTCAGATGTGTACTTTAGGAAGATCGTTTTGACAGCTGAGTGGAAGATGGACTGGAGTGGGGAGAGACTAGAAGTAGGCAGGACCTCCCCCTGCCCCCAGCAGCTATTGTAGTGATCCAGGAGTGAGTGATGAGGCCTGTTCCAGGATAGGAGCAGAGTCAGAGGAGAGAAGGGGGCGTAGATGAGATGCTAGGAGAGTAGAATTGACAGAACTTGGCAACAGATTGCCTATAAGGAGTGAAGAAGAATGACACTGAGGTTGTCACTGTGTAACTGGGAAGATGGTGGTGCCCATGAGAATAATGGGAAAGTTAGGAAGGGGGAGAATTTGGAGGGAAAGATAATGAGTTCCATTTTGGACACATTGAGTTTAAGACGCCTACAGGACATCCAGTTTGAGATGTCTAATGGCCAGTTCGATGCAGGTCTGGAGGTTAGGGAGGGGTAAGCAGATCTGAGAGTCATCACTACAGAGATGATAATTGAATCCTCAGAGCTTATGAGATCACCAAGTGAAATACGAGGGGAGAGGGCCCAGGACAGAGCCCTGGGGGGCCCTGCCAGTTAGCAAGGTGTGATGTGGATAAAGGTCCAGCAAAGGAGGCTGAGAAGCAGCAGTCAGGAGAACCAGCATGGAATATCACGGAAACCATGAGGGCAGATGATATCAAGGAGAAGAGAATGGCAGCAATAGCAGAGGCTGGAAAAGGCCGTTAGACTGGAGAGAGTAGCTGCAGTTGAATGATGAGGTCAGCGACCACACTGGCAAGCGTTCAGAAGAGCATGGGAAGAGAAGGGGAGGCACCTGTCGGGCCTGGCAGGAGGAGACTCGAGCATGTTTGTAGGTGACAGAGAAGGAAGAGGAGGAAGAGAGTGGGACGACAGCAGGCCAGTCTGCTGGAGAAGAGAAGATGCAGTGGGATCGCTTGTGCATGCAGAGGGGCTTGCTTTGGCAAGGAGAAGGGCCCAGCAGATAGAGCACTGGGCCTAGGGCCAGGGTGATCTGAGTTCAAATCCAGCCATGTGGCCCCCGGCATGTCACTTAACTTACACTCAACTGTAAAGTGGGGATAATAGCATCTACCACCAAGGGCTGTTGTGAGAATTAAATGAACTAATATTTGTAAAATGCACTTAGCACAAAGTGTGGCATATAGTAAGTCCTTAATAAATGTTTGTTCCCCATCTCTTCTTGTGAGATGGGGTGAAGGAGGAGATAGTGGCAGAAGGCATCTGGGTGATGTGAGATGAGGAGGGGGCCAGTGGCCTCAATTTTTCAGCTTAATTTGCCTGCCTCAGTGTTCTATATGATTTCTAAAAACCATTTTGAAAGTGTTCGAGGTGAACTGTGTGAGGGGAGGCTAAATGAGTTTTTGGCTCCAGGTTGAGAGGGAAAGAGGTGGGGCTTCTGCAGGATATTCTGGGGCCCTGGCCTATTGGACATAGGTGGAAGGTGGCATGCTCCTGTGGGGCGGGGCGCGGATGAGACAGAGCTTAGAGGCTGCATCGGCAGGAAGGAAGGGATGCTAGTGGCAGGTTTGGTTTCTGCTTCTGGGGTGGCTAGGGTAGGTCCCTCTGGAAGGCGCTGGGGTGAGAAATAAAAACTCCCATAGAACAAGGGAAAAGAAAACCTGCAGGTGAGATCACATTTGTAAGCTTCCACAGTCCCTGGCACACAGCAGGTGCTTTATAAATGACTTCTCAGCCCTCACCCCCAATCCCCTCCATGGGCTGGCTTTCTAACAGCCTTACCTCACATCACTCTCCTTGCCCTCTGCATTTAAGCCAAACTGGACTAGGCACTGTTTTCCAACTCAGCAATGACTTAATTGCCCATCATCTTCACTTGCTTTTGACAGGCAGCATGCTATAGCAGACAGGGTATTGGTCTTAGACTTAGGAAGACCTGGGTTCAAATCCCATCTCATATACTTATTGCCTGTGTAAGTGTGACACTTAATATCTCTGGGCACCTCAAGTGAGGAGGGTTGGATTCAGTGGCCTTTTAAGATCCCTTCCAGCTGTAAATCTGTCATCTCTGATGCTGGGATTCCTTCTTCCCTCTCTGTGCCCAGGCCTGGAATGCTCCCCATCCTCCCATCTCCCATTTCCCAGTAGCTTTCTTGCAGACTTGGCTCAGTGCTGTCTCCTACAGGAAGCCATTCCTGATTCTCACTTTTCCCAACATTCTCCCCCCTCCCTCCCCCCACGAAGCTATTCTTTCTTTCTCTTTCTTCAAATAAGCTGCTAGTCACAGTGTCCAAATTGTCCTCCCTCTCTTCCAGTGCCATGTAAGCTTTCTGTGGGCAGGACTGTTTTGGTTTGGATAGCTCCAGCACAGTGCCTTGCCCACCATAGGTGGGCATTTAATAAATGTGGGACTGAAATGTTTTCAAATAGGATGCCTCCCATGAAAAGTGCTAAGTAAATTGGAGTTGTTATGCTACTCCAGCTCACCTGTTGTCTGCCTGCTGGGCCTGCCTGAGGACGCTGGGCCCAGAGGCACCGCCCTCTGCTGGTAATCCTTAAAGTATTGATTGGGTGAGGATTGTGGAGGAAGGGAGGGGCTGAAGGGGCCAAGGCTCGGGCCTCAGGTCATACAAATAGCAGGAGCCTCCCTTCTCCAGAAAAAAAAGACGTGTGCATGACATACTTAGGTGAAATCTGCGTTCTGAACATTTTCTCAGTCACTTTCTTAAGTCTAGATAATCAACAAAACAATAGATTGAACCCTGTTTTGTAGCCTTTGCCAATTTCCAAGGTGTAAATACTCACATTGAAATTTTAACGATTGGCTCTTGAGGGCCAGTCAGAGCTGGCTCCTGACCTCCCCTGGCCCTAGAGGCAGGTAGCAGCTTTGGGTGACCTTCCTCCTCATCTGCCTAGGCCAAAGATCTGTGTTCCCATGAGCAGTCTGTGTGGGCTGTGAATGGCTATCAGTCAGCAAACATATATGAAGCACCTGTGTGCCAGGCACAGGGATAGAAAGGCAAACGGGACAGTCCATCCCAAGGAGTTTGTGTTCTAATGGAGGAGAGTGTGTGCACACCAGTTGGCTGCATATATAAGCTTTAGTTCTGCACTGAGACTTTTGAAACACGCTGTGTTGTGTAACATGTAGGTACACATGGGTGTGGGTCTGTGTGAATATGTATACACAGAATAAATTCAGACTGAACACAGGGTAGGGAAGGAGGGCCCTAGCAGCTGGGGATCCAGAAAGGCTTCATGTAGAAGATACCACTTGAGCTAGGCTCTTGAGGACAGGAGGGATGCTCTGAGGCTGAGGGGAGGAGGGAGTGGGTTCCAAGCATGCTGTAAACCGGCCATGAAGAAAATGAGCACCTGCTGCCACAGAAGTTGCTTGAAGAGCCATTTGGGGGCTACTCTCCAGGCCAGAGAGTCCATGGATTTGTGTGTGCATTTTGAATATTTCCAAAACTATTTCAGTTTAACTCATTTCCTTGGTAACACATAGTATTTTATTTTATACATTTAAAAAATATGATTCTAAGAAGGGGTCCATAGGCCTCACTAGATTGCCACTTCCAGATTAAGGTAAAAACCCTTTGCTCTAGGCCAAGCTGAGTAGGGCTGACACTGGAGGAGCACTTTTGGGCCTAGATCAGCAGAGGGCCCTGAGCTGAAGTGAAAGCTACAGGATTGTTACCAGCACCTCTTTGATCCCTTCCCCCAAATCAAGATCAGTAGGATAAGGCTGTAACTGGGGTGGGACCAGAGCTCTGTCCTAGGGTGCTGAAATTAAGGGGGTACTAACAGCCCTCACAGTCCTTAAGAAGATAAAAATATCTGAGTTTAGCAAGAAGGATTCTTTTAAAATAGGAAATTTCCAGATGGTGGCTCTCCCCCCAGCACCATAGGTGAGTCCCACCCCCCTTCTGGCATTGACTACCACAGAAACAGCTTCCCAGTGTCCTGCGGCTCTGCCCCACAAAGGCCTTATATGTTGAGATCCAAGTTCTGTCTTCCGCCCCCTCAAATACCTTAAGTTGAGAAGAATGTCTTAAGCTTGAGGTTTGAAAGCTAGAAGCAATAGAAATGAAAATGTTAGTGAAGATAAATAAGAAAGGGATTTATGGAAAGTTGGAGAAAAGGAACACAAAAATTGGCAATTTGATAGAGGAGTGGGGATACTGGAGAGAAGGGAATTATTGCTCAGAGGCAGAAGAAATCCTGGGTCGCAAGGCTCACTTTGGTTTGATAGGGGAGGTTTTGCTAACCACCTTGGGCCTGGGCCCCTCAGTGCAGTGGGGTCAGAGGAGGAGCCTTGAAAGAACCTGGTGGTGCTTCTCTGCCCCCTTAGAAAGGAGGAGTATGTGGGAAGGAGGCTGTGGGCATAAAGGAGAGTCATGAATTAAGAGCCAAAGCATACAAATACAAATTTATTCTTTCCAAAGCAGAATTAGAAGACGAAACAGCACCACGGTGAGTGGTAACCAAAGAAAGCCAATTTATCCCCAGCTCCAACCCTTCAGGAACACTTCATGCCGCCGCCGCCCCCCGCCCCCCGCCCCCCATTTTATCGGCCCTTGCCCTCCTGGCAGCCTGAGCTAGGGATGGGAGGGCCGAGGGACTTGGCCAATCCCCTCCTCCGGGGAATGGCTCCTGGCCCTGTCACGGTCACTTTGTGTTGTTATAGGGTTAGGGTCGGGCATGGCGGTTGGCCCAGGCACAGCAGCGAGCCTGAGGAAGGCAGGCTCCTTGATCTCAGGTCAGGACCCCACGTGCCCTTTTTTAAGATTCTGAAATCTTAAGGTTCTTGTTTGGCCCCTTCTTCACTTGAACCCGGGTAGGATCCCAGCCTGAAGAGCTCCAGAGCTCTGCCATTTGTGAAAGGTGCTGGCTCTGCCTGTTTCACACTGCCCTGGTCCTCTGAGCTCTGCCCTCTGCCTGACTAGTACCCCTTCAGGGGAAGGGGGATGTGATGCCAGCTCTTCGTCTGAGTCAGGTAAGAATAGAGGTGGGCAGAGCCTGTCAGCTCCCTGCCTCCACTGGTCATCCCCAAACCCATCGCAGCAAACCCTCCATCAGTCCTAACTTATCACCGGCCAACTCAGGCCCCTCGTGCCCCCTACAGCTACACGAAGCCCACAAATGAGAAGACCTTCTCTAGGCTGCTAGCAACACCCCCTCCCAACCACTTGTATACGTGACAAGAAATTCAACAGCATCAAACCCAATACACGATAGACGCACATTTCAAGGATTCCCAGGGCTCGTTTACCCCCAGCACACCTGTCTCAGGCTTAGTGATCCCCATTAAGGAAAGTTCCACTCTGAGCTTCACCCTCACCTCCCACTGTAGCCCACACACCTGCCATAGCCAGGTCCCCATCCCCGCCTGCCAGCCTGGAGGCGAGTGGCTGAGATCGTGGGCCTGGGGTATTCTTCCAGGGTGTTCCTGCTGAAAAACTACTCTGCGACATCTGCTCGGGAAAGCATAGCCATCCTAACAGCGACAAGCCAGTTCTCCATTTCCATCCAAGAGCTCCTCCTCAGTCCCGTAGGAAGACCCTCCGCTCACCCCGTCTGGTCTCCCTCTGTGCTCTGGCACCTTTCTACCGTTCTCGCCCTATTTGTGGCCAGTGCCAAGCCTCCCTGGCTTTGTGGTGTCACCTGGTGCCAGGAGGCCCAAGGCCCGGGCATTTGATGGCACCAAACAACTCTGATGGTGGCCACTGGGCCTCCCACACCCAGCTTGCTATCCCATCTTCACTGCAGCAGATGCAGAGAGATTCTCTTCCTCTCTTAGCCACCAACCTGTCTTAACAGCCACCCAAAGGAGAAGTGGGAGGCCAAGCAAGGCCTTGCAAAGAGAAGGGGCTGAAGGATAAGCTATGTTGCCTTGCCTCGGAATTGGGAGGGGGCAGGGAAGAACAGGAACAGAATCCGTGGTCCCCTCTCTGATACACTGGTGGATCCGGGACAGGCGAGAGCTCGAATTTGGTCTAACCTAGGCCCTGAAACCAGCCCCTGGGGGTGACCAAGGGACTCTAGCCACAGGCCCAGGGGCCTGGGCCCCAGAGTGGCCTACAGCAAGCCTGGAGAAAGTCCCCCGAGGGGACGGCCCAGGATGTAGTCATGTGGGCACTTCTCCCCATCCAGCCAAAGAGCAAGGCAGAACAGGAGTACTTCACGAGGTATTAGAATTTAATGTGCAAGTGAGGCCATGAGAATACTGATGCACAAAACAGCGAAATATGGATCTAACTATGCTAGAGAGAGACCTAGCCAGATGGAGTGGATTCCAGGGCTCTGTCATAAAGCTCCTTCCAGTATAAGGCTATTGAAGGGAGCTCTGGCTTGGGTCAGAGGCCCAGAGCCCCTGCCTACTCAGACCTGCCTCTGGGGCCAGGGTCCATGCATCTGGGTGGCTGCCTACCTCACCTGGGAGGGGAGAGGGAAGGAGCCCCAGGGAGGCACTGGGCCCAGTCACAGCCCTGAGAACGTTGCTATGGCATCCCCGAAACTGCTTCTTCCTCCAAAAGCCTTTAGAGGCCAGGCTGTCAGGCCGGCATGGGGGGCACCTTTACAACCATTGCCCTTAGGAGGTGGCAGGGACAAAGCCTTTTCAGAGACCTGGCCTGCTGCTGCCACCTCTGATCCCACAGGAGAAACCACTGGGCAAATCTCCAGGACCTGTAGGGGCCAGAGGAAAGCAAGCAGCCACCCCTCAGCTAGGTTTCCCAGGGCACTGCTGGCCAATTGCCCAGGAGGCTGAGGCCTTGAGGAAACAGAAAGGGGGAGGGAACCTACGTTAGTGTTGCTTCCATTTTCCCAAATGTGGCCCAAATGTTAGGTGGTGTTAGGAGCCAGCAAAAATCAAGGCTGCTTTCCAAAGGCGGAAGGAGCCCCTGGTTTTAGAGAGTGCCCAGAAGGAGCATGTGGCCACCAGTGTGGCACTGAGGGTTAGTGGAACAAGGAAGACTAGTCTGAAAGCCTGACTAGGGCACCATCCTGCCAAGTGAGGAGAGGCTGAGTTAGGGGGCAGGAGGGGTGGAGCACAGGGAGGAAGGCATTCCAGGCAGCAAACCATCAATGCACTCTGTGCCAGACTCTCTGGGGAGGGGGTGGGGTTGTGCCCACACGGACCCGGAGCTGGGCCAGAGGGCAAGATCCCTGGGCAGGTGCCGGGCCGCCCATCTCCTGTGGTCTAAAGAGAAGGTAGGGACAGAACAGGCCCTGCTCATATCCCTAAAGTACCTAGCTGCCCCCAATCACCACTTTACCGGGATGTGGCAGCAGTGTGGAGAGGAAGCAGGCTGCTGGCTTGAGGATCAGAAGGTCTTTCCCCTCCCCCCATCTGGCTTCTCCCACCTCAAGTCCCTGCTGCTGCCCGAAGCCTACTAAGCCAGTGGGGGATGAGGGAATGAGAAGGGCCAGTGGTGACAGGATGGGCCTGGCTCTGGCCAGAGCCAGGATAGGGATCCAGAGGAGGGGGTGAACGTTTGGACGCGTCAGGAAGCCAGTAGAGTGTTGGCGGGCACGTCCGGGCTTCGGGCATTGGGGAAAGCATGGCGTAGCTTCTCCATGATGTCCTCTAAGCACAGGCTGACATCCTGGCTTTTCTGCCCCACGTCATCTAGGGTGGAGAGGGGAAGCCATGAAGGGTGCCCTTCAGCCAGCTCACTCACCAGGTACCAGCCAGGCTAGGCCCGAGCCCCTGAGAAATGTCGCCTGGTGAGGAAGGGGAAGCTCACCTGCAGCCTCAGTGTCCGGGGTGGTGTGTTCCTTCTCCCGGGCATGGCTGCCCTCTGACTGCTGTGGGGAGGAGGCCAGGGAGGAGCCCCCAGAGCCATTGCCTTCAGATTCAGGGGGTGGCTGCAGAGAGGAAGGAAGCAGTGAGCTCTTGTCCCTTTTTGCTGGGGATCCCAGGACCCCCCAGGGCTTGGTTTACGGGTACTGTCACTAGCTGGCAATTTCACCTTTTTTTAACATCTTAGTATACATTATGCCGTGAATGTTGTACCTACACACTCTCCCAATTTCAGTGGCCATCATTCATTCGACCAGCACTAACGAAGCACCACTATGTACCAGACACTGGGCCTGATGCTGGAAATGCAAAGACAAGAGAAAAACAGTCCCTGCCCTCGAGGAGCTTACAATCTACTGCATTATTTTGGGCCTTTGTTCGGCACCTCTGTGCCAGCCAATTCCTGGAGAAGACCCAAAGTTGTTAAGTCACACAGGGCAGGGTACAGAAGATGTAGGTTTGACCAAAAGCCTTTGGAGGGCACCAACATTTCTAAGCCCTAGCCCGTGGCCCATGGCTTTTGGGCAATTTGTGGCCCAATTTTTAACTGACAACACATGTATTCACGGGATGTCCTAAGCAAAGGGGCCTGCATGCCAGATCAGATCATATGGAACGTTAGGAGTAGCAGTCGGGTCACAGGGGCCCTGTTCAGGCTGAGGCCACTCCAGCTAAAATGGCCCTGGAGGCTGCTGCTTCGAAGCAGTTCTGTGCCACTGGGCCTGAGCCCAGGGCTGTGTGCCCAAGCACTCTCACCTGCAGCAGCAGCTCCCTTAGGCGCAGCAGCTGGGACTCCAGTTGCCTGTTGTGGTCCTCCAGAATCTGCATGCGGGTTTCCAGGCGGCTCTTGTGCTGCCGAAGGAGCCTGGCTTCAGCCAAGAGCTCCTCGTTGCGGGAGTCCTGGGCCGCAGCAGGGGGGCCCTCAACGGCTTCTTCGTGTTGCCACTTCAGGCGTCGTAGCTCCCCTTGGAGAATCCTGCCAGAGACATGGGGCCTAAGGTCCAAGGCCCAAGGCCCAAGCAGGGGCCTTGGCCAAGGCGCCAGGTGGCACCTGGGCCCTGTGCCAGGCTGGGAGGCCTGCCATGGAGAGGAGCTTGGGTCAGGCTTGTCCAAGGTGCAGGCCCCCCACCCCCTGCTTCTTGCCAACCATATTTGCACATCTAGAACATACAACAATCCTCACCCTTCCCCCATTTTAGCCCTTCTACCCACCCTCATCTATCCTCCATAAGCCTGAACCTCAGTGCTTGGTCAGCAGGGAAAGGGAGACTCCCATTGGCAGAGCTGTCCAGCTGGCACACGCATTATCTGTTAGTTGCAGTGGAGGGCCTGGCTTTGGGCCTGCTCCCGTCCCCGCCCCAGTTCCAATAATCTATGTATTGGCATATACAGCCTGATTCCTATCTTCTTCCCAATTCTCTTTCCAGATCACCCATGCTGACATCTTCTCCTAAAGCCTAGTCTCCAGGGGAAGCAGTGTAGGCCTCACTGCTGCTCCTCAGTCCATATCCAGGCCCTCTTGGCAGCCTGTCTCTACCCCCAGCAGACACCCACCGGTTCTCATCCTCCAGGTGAGCGAGGATCTTCTCTAGCTCCCCTTTGTCATCGGCCACCATGGTATTCTGGGCTTGCTGCCCAAAGGTAGGCTCCCGGTCTGTGATGGGGCTTGAGTGTCTCAGCAGGTACTGATCTTCATCTCTACCATGGGACAGAGGAGAGGGAAGAGGCGGGCATCATCTACTAAGCAGGGAAACCCCCGGCAGAGGCCTCTGGGCTTTCAGCTCTCCTAAGGGGCTCATGGGAACCATTACTATAGTCACATGGAGGGGGGTCACGTATCCAGACTTTGCCAGGAGAAGAGGGCATGGGTGGGTAGAGGAATCCACTGCATGAGAATACTCCTTCCCTCCTCCAGAAATGGGCCTGGAAGAACAGAAGCCTAGAGCAGGAGGCCACTGGGACTGAAAGCAGAAAGTGGTGTGGGGGGAAGTAGGCAAGAAGGGAGAATAACAGGGACATACTCCTGAACTCAGCTAGAGGTAGGCCTCCATCTTGCCATGCTTAATGACACCTACTTTCCTCACTTGACATCATACTTAAAAGGGGGGCCTTGCCCACACCACCCACCCAAATTCCCTGGGCCAAGGCCTGCTTTTCCCAATGGGAAGGCAGGAAGTCCCTAGGAAATGCTGTGAGGGTTCCATGGGGACTTACATGCTGTCATCAGGAGACAGGCTATCATTAAAGAAGGAGCAGTTCTGACTTTCCATCTCAGCGAGCCTAGGGACAAAGAAGCAGAAACAGAAGTAAGGCATGTGAGGGGGTCTGTCTTCTCCCAAGAGCCCAGCTTTCATGCTTCCTGGAGCTAGGATTCCATGCTTCCCCTGGCCAGTTGGTCTTACTTCACCTGGGGATGAGGCCTAGCATTTTCTCACTAGGCCTTACTCCACTGTTCTGGACAAAACTCTCCTAAGTTTTGGGATGAGCCAGGGTATGGGCCTATATGAGGCCTTGTCTGGCTAGATCACCCTTCCTAGTTTCCTTCTGAGTTTCCCCTCGTTGCCCTCCCCCACCTGGGCTGGTGGTGCCCACTCTGGTACCTGCTGGCAAAGTGTTCAATGCGGGAATGTGTATCGGAGTGTGGTAACATCGGGGAGGAGGCAGGCCTGGGAGAAAGCAGCCAGAGGTTAGCACCTGGATGCTTCTCACTTTATCCCAGCCCCCTGTCCCCAAACCACCTCCTTCCCATAGCCAAGGCACAGTGCTAGTACCCTCCCAGAATGCTCCCTGATTTAGCACAGTGGGGTCCACTGTCCCTGGGGGCCAGGAAAGCCATCCTGCCTTAGATCCAATGGCCCCCAGGGCTCAGGAAACAGGGACTCACGGCTCACTGTAGTCAGCCTCCAATACAGACTGCACGGGCAGGTATCCTCTTTGAGGGTGTTTGCTGAAATACTGCTTGGACCGGAATTTGTTTTTCAGTGTTGTAGCAAAATCCCTCACGTTCTCACTCGAAGTAGTCTGGAGAGAGACAGAGCTGAAGGCTCATCTACTGCCACTGCCAGTGCCTTGGAGCAGCCAGTAAGGGACCCCTTGGTCCCGGGCTTATGGAGAGCATTCAGGAGCCCAAAGCCACATATATGTGTAGAGATCAAGCCAAGTTTTCCAAAACTCCAACATGTCTCTCTGGGGCTGGGTAATCAAAATAGAATTTAACTGTGCATTTACCTAGGCTCCATGTTGGGGTGACTGGGAGGAGGGCAAGGAAAAGAGAGGAAGGTCTAATGACCATGGGAGTTCCAGGCTAGGAAACAGGTAGCTCCACGATGCTAATACTCTGAGGAGGGGTTGAAGAAACTGAATACTTTAGGAGACAGAGACTGACCCTGCAGAGAAGACACAACTCCCAACTCTTAGAATGCCTCTGTTTTCAGTGTCAAGAAGAATGCTCTTTGGAATGGAAAGGGCAGAACCAAAATGGCTAACAAGGAGTTCCTCCCCAAGGTAAGGAAGGAGAAGAGTGAGAGAGTGAGAGAGAGAGAGAGAGAGAGAGAGAGAGAGAGAGAGAGAGAGAGAGAGAGCCTGGCTTCCCTCAATGATTTCAAACCACCTGCCCAAGTGAGCTCCGTCACTGGCTCCTGAAAGAACTGTTAGAAGAGGAGATGGCTGAGGCTGCCGGCAACAGCAGCAGCAGCTCTTTTTGAAGGATCATGGCAAAGGGGAGAGAGACAGACATACCACAAGCCTGAAGAAGGAGGGCACAGGTTGTCTTGATTTTTCCAAAAGGGGAGAGAATGGAATCTGCAAACTTTAGACCAGGGAGCTTGCTAGGAAACTTCTAGAGTGGACCATGGCAGAGATGGTTAGTGACCATCTGGAAAAGGAAGTAGTGATTGCCAAGTGCACTGGCCTTACAGCCTTCCTTGACAGGGCATGTTGGGAATGTTATAGATAGAGTTTAGGTAGATTTCTGGAGGGCTTTTGATAAAGTATCCCATGCTATTCCCATAGAGAAGAGGGAAAGATTTGGACTAGATGACAATACAGTAGGTTGGGTTCAGAACTGGTTGGATGGCTGCACTCAAAGCATAATCATAAATGGTTCAATGTCATCTTGGCAGGAGGTCTCCAGTGGAGGACCCCAGGGATCTGTGTTTGGGCCTATGATGTTTAACATTTTCTGTCAATGACTTGGATAAAAGCATAGATTGTATGCTCAATCAGACTCACAGGCGGCACTGAGTGAGGTAGGATAGCGAACACATTTGGATCACAGTCTTGGGGCAGCCAGGTGGCGCGGTGGATAGAGCACCAGCCCTGGAGTCAGGAGGACCTGAGTTCAAATCTGGCCTCAGACCAGACACTTGACACTTACTAGCTGTGTGACCCTGGGCAAGTCACTTAACCCCATTGCTTAGCCCCCCCAAAAAGAGAAAGAAAGAAAAGAAAGAAAGGATGACAGTCAGACTCCTAGAGAGCCTTTTTGTTGTTGTTCAGTAATTTTTCAGTCCTGTCTGACTCTTCCTGACCCCACTTGGGCTTTTCTTGGCAAAGACACTGGAGTGGTTTGCCATTTTCTTCTCCAGATCATTTCACAGATGAGGAAAACTGAGGCAAACAGGGCAAAGTGACTTACCCAGAGTCACACAGCTAGTAAGTATCTGAAGTCAGATTTGAACTCACAAAGATGAGTCTTCCTCGCCTGGTACTCTATGCACTATGGCACCACCTGGCTGCCCTATAGAGAGTGTGGGCTGAATGTAAAAATAAAAGTCAATAAGGATAAATGGAAATTCTTGCACTTGAGCTCAAAAAAGATCCCCAAGTTCAGGATGGAAGTGGCAGGGCTAGATAGCAGCTTGTGTGAAAAGGATCTGAAGGTTCGAAGCTGCCAGGAGCAAGGCACCCCAAACTCTGGCCCTGCCCAAGCACACTGGGGGGCCAGAGGATGGGGAAGGGGCTCGATGGGTTCAACAGATGAGGGAGGGACCATCAGCCTCACTCTTTCTGCTTGGCCCCAAAGGGCAGAATGAGGGAAAGCCACAGGGGGAAGTGGCAAAGAGACAGATTTTGATTCAATGTCAGGAGCAATTTCTTAGCAATAAGAGCTGTCCCAGGGTACAGTGGGCTGCCTCGGGAAGGAGGAGGAGTCTTCAAGTAGAGCTGGGAAAACCACTTGTTCAGGGTGTTGGGGGGAGGGGCAATTCTTTTTCAGGTAAGGGGACTGAGGTCCTCCTTTGAACTCAGAAATTCTGCAATTCAGAGAATCCATAGGAGAAGAAAGGCACGAAGAAACCTGAAGAAAAAGGTAAGCTCTGTGTGTGTATGTGTGTGTTTATGCATGTGTGCCCGCCCGCGTGTACATGAGCATGAGTCAGAGTGTGGGGAGAAGCAACTGTATGCCCAGAATAGAGAGAGAAGCTCATTGAAATTCTGTAGCCAGGGACCAGAGGCAGTGCCAAGTTTGGGGTATGAAGAGTTTCAGCCTGAAACCAAATGGGCCCTGGGGCCCACGTAGCCAGTGTGGCTAGAAAGGACGGTCAAAGAGGGTGAGCCTAAAAGGGACTGAGCAACGCCTGAGGCCCAGCCAAGCTGAAGCAGACCTGAAAGTGGACCTGGATGTAGCTGGCGCCCAAGTATCTCTCAAACTAGCGTTGAATACCCTTCGTGCCCTCAAGGCTAGTTCTACCACGGCTTACTGTGCTGGGCGCCCTGCAGTGGCAGAGTTAGCTACCCAGCAGCAGCAGGACCTGTCCCCTTACCGGCGTGTAGTATTCCATGATGGGGTAATGCAGCTTGTTTCCTTTACTGGCCCTGCCCGTTAGGAAGCAGGTCTGGCAGATGTCCACATTGAACTGCTTAAGACTCCGGTACCTGGGGTGACAAGAAGGGTCTAATGAACCCAGGCCTGCTCCTTTGGGAGGGGTGCCAGGAGAAGTACATTGAGAGCCACCTGGCCTGCTTCCAAAGTCTTCAATTCAACAAGGGTTTACTAAATGCCTTTTATGTGCCAGCCATGGGCCTACGTGTTGGGGACATAGATAAAAATGAAAGTGGCTGGCCTGAAGGAGCTTAGGGTCTGTCTTGCCAAGCCAAAGGTAGAGATAGTGAGGCCACGTGGAAAAGGGCCTCCTCCCAACGTGTACCAGATGAAACGAGGGATGGTCAAGATGGCCTTTGGTCCATCCTACTTACAATGAAGGGGCCCAAAGTGACTGTTCTCTCTCAAAGGCACAGGAAAGGTATCTATTTGCCTGGCACATATGCTGGTTTAACTGAGTGGAGCAAGTCAGCAAGTCATTATTTCCCAAGGCTGGCGAGATGATGCCATTTTTAGCCTACCACCTGAACAGCACATAAATGTAGCCTTGATGGTTACACTGAGTCACACAACACCCCCTTGGGCTTCTTGGGAGTGCTTAGCACATAGGGGATAGGCTGTGCCAACCAAGGCACCTGTCACATCCTGGGCCCAGGTGCAACCTCTGTCTGGCTCTGAGAAATAACCTTGGACTAGGCCTCAGGATGCTTGGCTTCCAATTCTGCCTCAGATGCTTACTGGCTGTCTGATTCAGGGCAAATCAGTTTCCTCATGTGTACGTGGGGATACCACCCCCTGCTAAACCTACTGATGCCACTGCATGGTTGTACCTGAAGCCTTTGATGGGGCACTGCCGGCAGACAGAGCACTTGGTCTGATGCTTCACCTGCTCGGCAATGGTCACGCGGTGCAGCACGGCCAGCCACACCATGGACTGTGGCTCCAGGTTGGCCCACTCCAGAAACTGAGCAGCTTCAATGACTGGCTTTCCGGTGCTCTGGGGAAATGTTTTTCAAACACGACAGGAAGAGCTGAGGCCCAAGGTAAGCCTGGGGAATCCTTCTCTCAGAAGCTCCCACACTGCTGGCCAGTCCCCTCCCCAACTCCCTGGCAGAACAGGAGTGACCCCCAGGAGCCCACCCTAAGCAAGTGTTCCTCTTGCCCCATACTCACGAAGCGGAAGCAGCTGCGGACACTGGGCTCCACATTGCTCCCCCCAAAGGCTGCCACTTCCCCCAGCTGGCGAGGCACCTGGATGGCCTCATGTAGCAGGACACCCAGGTGGCGCTGGTCACACTGGCTGCCCGAGGTAGCCACCTGGCTGAAGAGGTCTGCAGGACAGCCACCGAGGAGGAAAGAGCAAAACAGGCACACAGTTAGCTGGAGACCCTGGGGAGCTTTGCACCCCATGAAAGCTGGGCCCTAAGCTCGGGCAGCACAAAAAGAGCCCAAAGATCCACTTTTTGAGATGGGTTCAGCTGGGGGTCACATGGTAGGAGGAGGTACCTCAGGGAGAGACCTTGGAGCCTGGGCTCTTGTGTGATGGAGGGAAGACAACACCAATCCAAACGGGGCCTGCTGGGGAGGCCGCTGCCAGGGCAGGGAGCTGGGCAAGGCTGGGCTTACTTCATCTGGAATAGTCTTGCTAACAAGAAACTAAGCTCAGTTGTTTCACCCTCTAAATGTTGGCACCCTGGTGCAAAACCCTGTTCAACTTGGCCTAGTTATGACCAAAAGCACTGAGAGCATATTGTTCCTGAGTGACAGGGGCAGAGACTTGGGGGAGGGGAGTACTAGCAGCCAGCCAGGCAGACACACACTCCGCTATCTGCTAAATGGAGCGCTGACTGGTTCATCCCTGCTTCCTCCCAATTGTCCACATAAATAGTCCTGAAAGAGCAAATAATCCCCGGATCCTTTCTAAATGGCCCTGGAATCTCTTTGGCCTTGTGGTCTGAGCCTGGGCTCAAAGCGGGGAGCGATGCCTCACGCATCTTGACATTGAATCGCTACCCACCCCAGAGAGTCTGACCTAGGGTAGCTGTCATGGAAATGGCAAGAGATTGCCAAGATAGGACCCATAAGAATGACCGTCTTCTAGCAGGAAGGGGCAGAGGGAAGAGGCCAGACTACCTGAGGTCACGACCCTGGGTGATCAAAAGCTGAGAGGAGGGGCGAGTGGGAATATGTTGAATAGAGGAATGAGACCTGCTCTTTCCACGGGAGGGGAGATCTGCACTGTTCACTCAGTGAGCGTCCATTTCCATTGCAGCCGCCCTAGGGTCAGACTCTCAATTTCAATGTGGCAGCAGGTCTCCAGTGGAGTGCCCCAGGGATCTGTGCTTGGCCCTGTGCTGCTTAATGTGTTCACCAAAGACTCAGATAAAGACACAGATGGCATGCTCAGCAGATTTGTGGTTGACACAAAACTAGGAGAGGGAGTCAGCACAATGGCTAATAGCATCAGGACCCTAAAACATCCTGAGAGACCACAGTGCTGGGCTGAATCTAATAACATGGAATTTAATAGACATAAATGGGAAGTCTTATGGGAGGGGAGGTTCAGTGAACTGCAAGCAATGAGAGGTGGGTGCCAAGAATGCCAGCCCCATCTCGGGTGGCGTCAGAAGCCCCAGCAGACAGATGACAAGCTCGCTGGCCTCTCCCCTGGTCAGGCTTCCTCTGGAGCACTGGGTTCAGCTCTGAGTGCCGTGCTTTAAGGACACTGAAAAGCTAAGGAGAACCCAGAAGACGGCAACAATGGTGGGGAAGGGTCTTGGGTCCATGTCATATGAGGACTGGTTCAAGGAATTGGGAGTGTTTTGCCTGGAGAAGAGAAGAGTCAGGGAGCCAGGAAGGTTGAGTCTTCAAGTATCTGAAAGGCTGGCAGGTGGAGAAGGGATTAGAGGCCATTACCAGGAGCACTAGAGAGGAAGCAGCCAAGAGGCCAGCTGAGGCTCAGCCTTCCCAACAATGAGAGATGTTCCAGAGTGGGACAGGCACTTCCCTCTCCACGTAGCCACTCGGGGGGCATGGGACATGGACAGATTCCCTTCAGGTAGGGGCTAATGGTGGCTGAGCTCCCTTCCAACTCTGAAACTTGGCAATTCTGGGGTTTTCTCCCCTGCACTGGGACAGAAGCCTCCTCACCGGTCCCCTTGCCACTATCCTCTCCTCTCTGCAATCCACTTGGACAGTGTCCCTCCCTCTACTCAAAACCCTTCTCTGGCTCCCCACTGTCTAACAAATCAAACATAAATTCCTGGAGCCTATTCTTATCCCCATTTTACAGATGAGGAAACTGAAGCTCAGACAAGGTGAATGACTTGCTCAGGGTCATACAGCTGATAGTAGGGGAAGCAGGATTGAAACTGAGGTCTTCCTGACCTCAAGGTAAATGCTCTAGCCACTCAACCAATGAAGGAGAAAGGCAAAAAGCTGCTGTTGAACTCCAAGATAATGGGCTCACTGGGAGCTTCCTGCATCATCAACTACATAGGGCCAGTAGAGGAAGAGCTGAAGTCTCCCCCACCCCCTGCCCATTCTCCCCATGTGCTTCAATCTGCGTTAAGCCAGCCTGGCCCTGGGAAGCAAACCGGGCTCCAGGCTAGGTCCCACTGGAAGCACCTCAAGAGTGGCCCCAGTCTCTGGTGCCCTCCTGATAGGTTGCAGCCAATCTGTAGGCCCAGGCAGCCTTGCAGGACAGCTCTCAAAACCAGCCAGGGGAACTGACCCTCTGCGTCCGCCCATGTCTGCCGTGCCCCCTTCCCGGCCTTCAGAATGGAACTCACACTGAAATTTCTCTTTTACTTCTGTTCCACACAAGCAGGCAATGCCAGTCTTAAAAGACAGGGCTCGCATCTTTCCGCTGCGCCCACTGGGAGATGAAAGGGAAACAGATTGAGTGCTGGAGTGGGCAGTGCCCTGGGTACCAGTGAGGTCCCAGTCCAGGTCCAGCTTACCTATCGAACACATTAAGGAGCCAATTCAGGCTCATGTCCACACAGAGTGGCACATTCACCAGGATGCCCCTCTCCTCCTCCAGCCGCTCATATAGGGCTGTCAGGCAGTGGATGACCTCAACCACATCCATCACGTGCTCACTGGGCTGCAGGTCATGTTCATTGAAGATCTCCAGAGCCGTGTTCAGGGTTACCAGGTCCACTGTGGGGAGGTTGAGTCAATATCAGACCCCCCGGGACAAGACAAGGAGATAAGAACCCAAGCATAAGCCTGGCAAGTTGATGCAAGCCTTGCCTACTTCCAGCATGCCACGTCCATAATGTTTCTACTCCTACTGGGTCACAACTAACTCTTTCATAAGCTCCTGGGTGAAGAAGGCCCCTCCTCAGTCCCACCCCTCTTGGTATCTTCTCCTGAGTCCATGGATATTGGTCCCAGAAGCCCAGCTGGGAGGACCTCATACTGCTCTGCCTTAGGAGACAGCTTTACTCCCCTCAGGCCTGGCAGACCTACGGCCATGTAGCCCTATCATTTCCCTCTACTCTCCTGCTATGGAACCCCGCCAAAAAACAGGAGTTTTGGGGGGCCACCCCGGGCAGGGCCAAGAAGACATTGGCTCAAGTTCATATTCCAAACCCTTCCCAGCCTCTGAACAGAGCTCATGAACCTGGCCCCTCCCACCAATTTTTCCCCCATAAGCCAGTGAACCCTGGACTGAAAGTTAGTGGGAGGGGCTCGAAGGTTGTAAGGGAGCTGGAGCTGGAGACATACAGCGTAGGGCCTTCTGGACTCGACGGAGTTTCATAGCTGTCCGGTAAGCTGAGAATTTGATGTTGTTCAGGTCAGCTGCCAAGAGAAAAAAAGAGACTTCTCCAGAGGCAGGACAGAGGGAGTTGAAATCATCATGGCTTAGATGGGGACAAGGCCATTGTGAATGGGGGAGCATGGCATACAGTAACACAAATGATGACCCTTGGCTTGGGTAGGAAATTGAGGAGGGAGAGGGCAAGGATCTCCCCAAAGCCTGGTATCCTTGAGGGCTGAGGCTGCTGTGGGGCTTCCCACCTACACATTCACATTCTTACCCAGTGTTTGGTACAACTCGGTCATCTTGGGGTGGTCCCAGCATGTGGTCTGAGCCTGATGGCTACAAAATATAAGGGCCTGAGCATCATTCACACCAGGCCTTGCCCACATGCTCCCCCCCCATAAACACATTTCATCATGCACACATGTACGCACATGGACATAAAAGGGGAGATTCAGAAACATCTACAACAGGGCCCAGGGCCCTGAGGATGAATGTGAGCAGAAAATGGAGGGGGTGAAAGCAGCCAGCACAGGGAGACATGGGCTAGGTGGGTGTCTGGCTACTGCTTCTGCCTGCGGCCTACACATACACACAGACAGACAGACAGACAGACACACACACACACACACACACACTCACTTGATGTAGTAGGGCACTTTATTGGGTGAAATTGCTCTTTCCCAGGGGACCTGCACAGAGGCTGGTGAGGGAAGAGAGAAAGACAATGCAGACTGGCTCTGTGTGCCCCCCACCCCACCCCCATCCATGGGGCGCAAGCAGCCAGCCTGGGGGTCCTTGGCAGAGACAAGAAAATTCGGCTTAGAGGCAAAGGCATTGCATCCACACCTCTGCCCCTCATATGCCACAGAGGTGCCAAGGATAGAAAACAGTCTTTGGCCACTGGAGAGCCCCTGGCAGCCTTCCCTGGGGAGGGCTGGTGGAATGGGCGCGCTCTCTGTACCCCATGACTACCAGCTCTGTCAGCAGCCTTTAAGGATCTTGCATGCTGCTCCACCTCTAGTCTTGGTCAGTCTCACAATCCCAGAACCTCAGGGGTAACAGAGCGTCTATGTGAATAGCAGCATAGACGCCAAGTCGTCTGCATTGCTCCAGTGAGACACTAAGCTATTAGAACATGGAGCCTTGGGGACTTTTGAAAGTCCCTCTCCCTACAAACCTCTTTAAGGGGACAAAGCTCTCTCCTGATTAGGTCTCAGGGCCTGAGGCTGGCTCAAGCCCAAGTGGCCAATTCAGAGATAGGTCTCAGTGACTGGGGCTTCTCTCCCCACCCCCCAATCCTCCACTGGGTTTCTGGGCTCCCTGAAGGCTCCAGAGCGCCTAAGGGGAAGACTCTCCACACCGGCTAGACTGAGGCTTAGGGATGCTCTGTTAAGCCACGCTCCTCTTGGCTCACGCACTGGACAGGAAGTGCTGGGATCCTGGCCCAAAGTCCCGGTGGGCATCCTGGAGCTGCTTGAGCCGTTCATTAACTGAAGCCTGTGGGAAAAGTAAACAAGAATGAAGTTGGCTCCAGAACTCGAGGCGTCTCCTGAGCTCCTAAAACTGGGCCCCAGTCACTCCCCACTTGTCTGAGGTGGGGCACCCTGATCTTAGCCTTCTTGGAGACTTTGGAGCTCTTGGACTTTCTTCTACCTTCCTCTAGCTCCCTCCAGCTCACTGCCAGGCATTGCTCCTACCTGCAGCTGTTTCCAGCGAGTATTGATTTGCTCCAGGGCCCGGGAGTTCTCCATGGAGAGGTGCACATCAGAGATGGCCAGCTGGTGAGCTAGCTCATTCACCAGCTTCACTCCCTCCTTCACTGGGGACAGTTCCTCTGTGAACAGCTATGGGGAAAAACAGGCCCCGAGCCCAGCAGGGACAGGGGACATTGGTCACTCCCCTACACTCCTCCTTCCTCATCCAGGGCTAGGATCCATCTCGACCCCTCTCTGAGGCCAGCCAATATAAACAAACAAGCCCCATTGATGAGTGCCCTCACCCCCTCTCCACTTCGACACCTCTGGAAACACTGTAGGAACCCAAAGCCAGCCCCCTGTGCCCAGGGATGCCCTCAAGCTCCTGGTGGAGTCCAGGCTAGCAATGGTACATGGCAAACACCCAATGGGTACAGGTCCCTTGTACCTTAATAGCCTGGATGTGCTCTGGCAAGGAGTCGATGAAGAGGTCCCCGATGGGCTCCCAGGTAGCCCGGATGCCCTCCGCCTGGGTCAGGGCATTCCCCAGCTCCCCCATGGCTCCATGGATCTCTAGAAGCTGCTCCAAGGTACGCTCAATGTGGCGATGTTGATCCACACAGCGGGCAGTCAGCTTCTCCCACAGCTCGCTGGCCACAGTCGCCTGCTTCCACACAAAGCGGCTGAGGTTCTGGATCTTCTGTCTGGGGGAAGCATCTGCCAAGGAAGATCAGGGGTGACAGCCAGAGCACCAAAGACGGCATGGTGACAGGGAGGGGCCAAGGAGGGTAGCCGCCTCTCCTACTGGCAGGATACAGATCATTCAAAGCTACTGAGCTGGGGGACGGGCTTCGAAATGTGATTTTGTGCTGTATATCCAAAGAATGGAGCTCCCTGGCTCGGGAGATCCTCTCCAAAGCCTCCAGCCTCCTGCATTTGCTCCTGAGCAGGGCCTGGAAGCAACGCCTGGGAGGCTACGGCCAAGGCCTGCCTCTCTCTCCCTCCCTCCTCTCTCTTTCTTTCTCTCTCGTTATATTGAAGGAACAAGTTACTCTGGGTGTGTGCTCCAGTGCCACTTGCTGGCCACTAAGGGCTGGATATCACTTGTGTGCCTCCATTCCAGGGGGCGTAGGAGCAAAGCCTCTCTCAGGCCAGAACGTCTGTCAGGGCCCTTCCTGAGTCAGACCAGGCCAATGGGTGCCAGGCCTCTGGAGACCCAGACCAAGAATGACCAGCCTGAGCAGGGGGGAGATCAGAAGTCATCAGGATCATCCCAAAGGGCCACAGACAAGCTGTCATTCTGTGCAGTTTTTGAAAAAATTGTATTCCTTAGGCCCTTGAGTGCCCCTTGACATGTGACATCACAGGCTTGTCAAGGACATCATAGTTCTCATCACAGCATCAAGGCAGCACCGGACATGAGCTAGAGAGTTGGCCTCATAACCACGAAGCCCCAAGTTCAAGTTCTGCCTTGGATACACACTGGCTGTGGGATTCTGGGCAAAGCCCTCCCAGACAACTGGAGAAGACTGTTGTGGAGGTGCCAAACTGTACCACTAGAAGGGGTTTCCTCACCAGGGAGTTTGCCACACCAAGCAAATCACAAGGCTGGTCCCATTCCCTGTGCTTCCTAAGGCAATGTTGGAAGCCTGGAAGTTACAAACACTAAGAGGCCACCATCTCTGGCCCCAGAAGCTTAGAATCTAAGCTGAGGGTGGCAGGGGGAAAACATGTACACAAAGAAATATCACCAAAATCCAGAAAGGACACATGCATAATGAGGGGGTCTGGGGCTATAGATTATAGCCCAGCTCTTTATCTGTACTGGACAGAGGTATTTCCACACTGGGAACCCTCCCCAGCCAGAGTGCTTTGAGATCCAGTGAGAGGGCAATCACTTCCAGATGGCAGACAGTGTTTCCACATGTGACCCTAGGGCCACAGAGTGCTCTTCCCTGCCTGTTCTTGTACTCCCCAGGCCTGAATCTCCCCTACTGTGATTTTTTTCCCTCAGGACAGCTGGGATTGGCATCCGTATTGAGAAGGTGGGGGGGGGAATGAGAAATGCCAAGTAGAAGGTGGAAGAAAGGAAGGCCACCCACCTTTGTTCTCACAGTGGGGTTCTTCCAGTTCCTCAAAGGGGTGCTGGGAGAGGAAGGCCTGAGCTGACTCGAGTACCGAGTAGATATAGGGGCCTCGGGACTTGACCTCTTCCATAAAAGCCTGTGAAGGACAGGAAGAATGAGAGTCCCCAGACCTCCCCAAGGCCTGCTCCCCTGGGCCTAGCATTGCCTCCTATTCTTCCCAGGAACCCTGAGCAGCCATCCTCCCTGGAGCCTCTGATGAGTGGTGGCATGGTAGCATCATCAGGCCCTATACCAGTGAGCAACATGGCCTAGCTGGCCTTGGGACCTTCCTCCTGAATGAGTGGGTCCCACGGGGAATTTTCTGAACTCAAATCAAAGATAGTTAGGAAAGGCTGAAGGATGTGGGGCTCTTTAAACTAGACACAGGCAGATTTAGCAGGTCTCTGGCACTGTCTTCAAACATCTGAAGGATTGTCTTGGGGAAAAGAGACTGGACTTGTTTTGCTTGGCCTTGGAGGGCCAAAGTAGGACCATCAGGTCCTAAATGTAGGAATGTATATTTCAGTTGAATATAAAGCCATCAGAGCCACCCAGAAATGTAAGGAGTGAGTTCCCTGTGAGGGGAGGTCTCTGACCAGAGACTGGATGTCCTATGGCAGGCTCTGGAACGCTGACCTACCGAGTGAGTCTCCTTTTCCTTCTGTACCAGGGCCACGGCCCCCTGCAGTGGTAGCTGAGCAGACAGTTCCTCATCCTTCTGGCTGAGCCAGTCAATGATCTCTTGAAGAGGGGGCTGCAGCTTCCCACTGGGATCTGAGAAGGCCTCAAGTCGAGCCCTGCAGGCAGTAGGCCAGAAGGACCATGAATAGCCCATAATTCACTTACCTGGCTCATCAAGGTTCCACCGATTCACTTGGATGACCTTGGCTTGAGCTCTACCAGGGCACCCTGCCTCTGAGTAGGGAAATAGGGGTGGAACCGCAACTAGGTCACAGTTACAGCAAGTCCACCTCAATTAGCAGCATGGCCTGGCAGAGAGGGAAATGGCCTGGTAGACTTGGCTTCAATGTATATAGGCTGTGGGACCTCTTAGTGCCCCACATACCTCTCCAGGATTAGAAGTTGCAGAGCAGACGATCACCTAATGGTGGGGGGGGTGCCCTATACCAATGACATAACAAGTCTAATCTTGTCCTTATCCTTTCTAAATGATCAGAGCCGCCCAAAATGGGTTAGAAGTTCTCCATCACCATAGGGCTTCAAGCAGGCCAGGCCAAGCAAGCTGGAGAGGGACGGGGATAGAGCAGCTCTGGTGCTGGGGGAGGGAGACTGTAGCCTAGCTAGCTGTAGCTGCTGGGAGGGACCTCAGCCTGCCTCTAGGCACACTGTAGAAAGCTAGAGGCTAGCCCAGGGTTTGAGGCCTCAGAGACCTGCCACTTAGGATCTGGCCAGTGGGGAACAGCCCTAGGACAGGGAAGGGGATGAAGAAAGGCACTGGCCTGGGCCAGGCAGAAAGAGAGCCAGGGGAGCCCAGCAGAGGGAAGGGGAGGCAGAGGGCTGTCTTCTCTTTCAGATCCGCCAGCCCGGTGAGGAGGCAGCACAGTGACCACCCATTTTTCTTTATTTTTCGACAAATGAGGCAGCTTCAAGAGGTGAAACGAATTTCCTGAGGTGATATAGGAAGTAAGCCCGTTTTGGGACTAAACCTAAGTCCTTTATTTCCCAGTCCTGTCATCTTTCCAGCAGACCATAGATGGCAGGAAAGCTGGCAGAGGGAATGAAGAGAGGAAGAAGAAAGGGGAATTGCTGAGGGCCCCTGGGACTCAGAGGAATGGAAGAAAGCTGGCCCTGAGCTAAGGGGAGGGCACAAGTTGGGGGTGCCAGGAGCCGGGGGGCTTACCGGAGGTTGTGGGATTTCTTTTTTATTTCATTCCAACACAGATTCATGGCTGGAGCATCCAGGGGCCCGATGGCACTGTTCAGAACTGGTTGCCTCACACAGGTCGGCCCTGTGCCATCCTGAGAAGCCGCAGCTGTGGCTCTAACCTGGACAAAGGCACAGACACCAATCCACACAAGCAGCTGAGGACACACCGCCATGGCCAGAGGAAGGGAGAAGCTTGGCCTCAGTCTGGGTCCCAAGATTCATCTTCTAGTCTAACCCCTCACTTGTGGCATGAGGGAGCTCTGTTCTCTGCCAGGATCTTGCCTTGCCTGAGGCAAGATCATCACCCTCCACCTGAGTGGGCAGCAGAGGCCCCCAAAAGGGGAGAACAAAAAAGCCCAGGACTGTGCCAAGACCCACTGCAGGGAAGACGCCTGACCTTGGCATTTCATTGGTAGAAGGAACTTCAAGTCTTAGAAAGGTGCCCAGGGCACTGAGAGTCATACAACCAGGGCCACAGAGCCAGTCTACACCAAAAGCAGGACTTGAACCCGGGTCACCCTGCTTGGGCAGGCAAACATGCTGCCTCTCTGCAAACTTGGGCTAACCTAGGGAGCTCTGGAACATCTCTCTTTCTTCTCGCCCTAAGCAGTTTAAGAATGGTAGGATAGCAGTTTGGGAAACTGAGGTCCAGATGTTACACCTGATGTCATGACCCCTGTCAGCCCCTGGCCCTGGGATGAGCACATATCCTTCTGGGCAACATCTTTGTCCTCATCTCCAAGCCACAGGGTGGCAACCAAGCAGGCCTGAACATGGACTCAACTGGGGCAGAGGGGGCTAGGGCTCCAGCAGGACCTCAAGGGTGGCCCAGACAGGACGAGGGAAGGAGAGAGAACTCAGGGGGAGCCTGGGAAACTCCCCCCCACCATTTTCTTCCCTCCCCCCTCCCCGATGGAGGGACCCTACCTGTGTTGGGTAGGGGCTTCTCAGCCGGCTCAGGCGGCAGCAGCTCCATGGGCCCTGGCATTAATGTCCTCACCTCACTTGCTGCCTGGGTGCACTGGCTTCAACCAAGGGAGGTGGATTTGCTCTCAGCAGGCGGGTGGGCTGGTGGGCTGGGAGGCGGGAGCAGGCAGCCCCTGTCACCCTGTTTACTGACCCCCCAGGAATCCAGAGGGGGGCGGCTATAGCAGGGCTTTCCCGGTGAATCATAGCTTTGTCCATGTGGAATTTCTGCACTCACTCTCTCTCTCTCTCTCTCTCTCTCTCTCTCTCTCTCTCTCTCTCTCTCTTTCTCTCCTGGCTCAGCCATCCTGGGCAGTCTGCTCATTCTGCTTGGAGGGATGAGGGGAGGAGTGGGACATCAAGGTTTACTGTGCCCAAGTAGGGGGTGATTAGTATAGACTTCCATGCCCAGAGCTACATCTTCTCTCTTCACAGGCCGGGAGTGAAGGCTAGAAGGTGCCCCCGGTACTGAATGGGGAGAGCTGCTGGCACCCACCAAGAAATATCCCAGAGGCGGAGCAGAGGGAAGGGGAGGGAATAAACATGTATACTGCACCTACTACGTGGCAGGCGCTGTGCTAAGTGCTTCACAAACATCTCATTTTGTCCTCACACCTTGAGAGGCAGATGCTGTTACTTTCCCCATTTTACAGTCGAGGAAACTTGTTCATGGCCACACAGTTAATCAGTGTCTGAGGCTGGATCTGCACTCAGGTCTTCCTGACTCCAGCACCTTAATCCTGAAGCCATCATACTAATAACAGCATGCTTTACATACATTCTCATTACAGCCCCCCAACGGCCCTATGAGGGCGGTACTATACTATCCTGTTTTACAGGGAAACAGAGGCTCAGAGAGCCTTTGCCCAGGGTCCCCCAGGCAATGTCAAAGGTGGGATGTGAACTGAGGCCTCTAGGACTCCAACTCACGGAGACAATGAAGGGTGGAGATGGCATAGTTGGACTGAGTCACAGCTATAAGCCTGCCTCTGGCCTCCCCCACAGAACCTAAGGGACAGAACCTTGGGGTCAATTGGGCTCCTGAGTCTGCCTCTCCAAAATGAGGTGTGTGTTCTTGGGGGGGGGGGCGGAGATTACAGATGAAGAAGACCCCAGCCTGGACAGCAGGGAGGTAGCTTCTGGGAGTATACACAGAGTATCAGAGCAAGAGGCAAGAGGCAACACTGGACTCAGTAGACCCAGCCAGCGTGCTTCCAGGGATCTGGGGACCAGGAGGCCTCTGCTGGGTCTCTGCCTGGCCTGGCCTGGCCTTCTAGTGCCACCTTCCCTCCTCCTCCCAGCAGACCTGCCTGGGGAAAGGTTAACATTCCAAGCCTCGAGGCTCCCCCTCCCTGCCACCTCCCGATGGAAAACATTTTGTTTTTGCCAAAAGGCTTGGTTTCCATTCCCGTCCTCAGCTGCTCCCACAGAACCCTCTGCACATTGTTCCCATGCTCAGGCCCACCTACAGGAATAGCTGGCTCAGCTGCCTGGCCCTCCTATGGTGGACACCATCCCTCCAGCACCCCCTCCTGCCCCTACTTTGCCCTGGAATAGGGCTGGGCCTCCTCTGGCCTGCCAGCCCTGCTCACTTACAAGCTCCCTTCTCTGGGGGACTCCTGCCCTTCTTTCTGCCTTCTGTCTGGTGCCCAAGTCCCTCCCCCCATCATTCTAGAGCTGGGCCTCCGCTCCCTGCTCCCACCTCACAGCCTCACCCTGGAGCTTGTCTGGAAAAGCCAGGCTGGATTGGAGACTGGGTTCTGCCACTACCTTGCAATGTGACCATGAGCAAGTCCCCATCTCCCCACCCCAACTCTCTGGGTTTCCTTAGTTTTCGGCTCTGCCAAGTGAGGGGATCCAATTCTTTCTTCCAAGGTCCTTTCCAGCTCTGGCATGCTATCAGGCTAGGTCTGCCTTGGGCACAAGGGGCTGGGCACAATGGAGGGAAGCAGCAAGGGAGAAAGCGCCCAGGGCAGGGAACTGAGTGATGTTACCATCATTTACCGTATTGGACTTTTAATCTCATACTGCTAACCTTTGGGAAATGGTCAGGTCCCCTGAGCCCAGGTCCTCAGACTGAGATTGGGCCTGTCTAAGGAGGTAGCTGGGCGAGAAAAGGCAAGCCTTCAGTTGGCCTTAAGTATGGCCCACTGGGGATCTCTGCAGGCCTGGTCTTGTGCTCCCAAATGCCGGTGCCCTGGGCCAATCCCATCTCCTGCCCCGGGTATCACTAGCTCTGCTGAAACTCTTGGGAACTCAAAGTTCTCCATCTTGATCCTTGGGAGACAAGCCAGGAGAAACCTCTCTCACAGGCCTCCTGACCATCCCCCCTTCTTCTCCCTGTTCCTCAGGCCCCATGTACTGCACTGGCTCCCTCCCTCTCTACCATATATTTAGTCACCACCCTTGCGGCCCTCCTTGGTGAGTCAGCACTGCGGGCCCAGCTGTGAGCCCCTGGCCTCTAGACTGGGAGGATACCACTTTGTCCCCACCATCCCCCACCCCACCCCAGCCTAATGATACTAAATCAATTCTCTCCTTCTTGGGGTTGGCAGCTCCTCTGATGAGCTCTCTCAGTGTTGGGGTGGGGAGGTGGGGCCACTTTTCCCAAGCCGCCTCTGGACACTATTTCATCCTCCACCCTTAGGAAGAGGCCAATCACCCAAATTCTCCCAGGGCCCTGTATTCTATTGTCCTGGGCCAAGAAGTGGGCCCTAGGGCTGGGCTGAGAACCAGCAGGTTTCTCCAGGCTTGTGGGCCCTAAGGAATGGAGAGAAGATAGGTACAGCCTTCCCTAGACAAGCCTCTGGTGGGTATCTTTTCACTAGAGACAGAGACCTTGAGACAGATGAAGCTCCCCACAGGATGGCTACAGTTAGATTGGGCTGAAAGAGGGTAAAAAGGGGATGAAAGAGAACAATGGAAATAAGGCCTTAGAGGTTGGGAGAAGGGCTAAGGGGAATGTGGGAAAGAGTTGAAATCCAGCCAGGCTTCAAACTCATGAACTCAGTGGTGCTCACTCCTTAAGCCTTGGACGGCAGAGGGCATGTGGTCTGCCCTTATGAGTTGGGCCTGGCACTGGGGCAGTCCCAGGCCAGAGGACTACCTAACCTGACCCTTCCCAACTAAAGTTCTGAGGGTGGGCTGCTCTGCTTACCTAGCCCTCTGAACTCCTCCCCCAAGGTAGCAAGGAAAGGAGAAAACCTACCTGAGTACAACTAGAGGAAGGCCTCATTTGGACAGATCCTCTAGGCTAACTTCAAAAAGGCCAAGGGTGGGAGCAGAGGAGGCCTGTATACACAGTTGGGCCCTTACCACACACATACAGGCGTCCTTTCCTAGACTAGCAGCATGTCCTGGCTGCCCCCGGCTGGAGTCTATACACCTGAAGTCTACTCCTTCCACAAGCCCAAGCCAAGTGGTACCATTTGAAAGACAAAATCAATCACTATATTTGGAGGCCAAAGGCCTAGGGTGAAATGTTACCTCTGCTACTGTGTGGCCTTCTGTGCCTCCTCTATTGACCTGGCTGACCTCTGCTGTCCCTTCTACTTCTAAATCTCTGCTATGTTCCTGAGGACTGGAGACAGCCTGACAGTGGTAAGGAAGTTGTATTTCAAGTCCAGATGGCCTGGGTTCAAATCCCACCTCTGTTCCTTACTCCCTGGGTAGTCTTAGGCAAGTCACTTCCTCTCCTCGAGACTCCACTTCCTCCTCGGTAAATGAAGGGGCTGGACTGGATGCTCCCTTCTATCTCTTTTGGCTCTTACCTGAGGCTGGGGGCGGGTGGCGTTGAGGCCACTGTTGTGCTGGGATTGGTCAGCTGCCCGCCACTCATGACATCGTGGGAACGTGTAGGGACATCCCTGCATGACCATGGGCTGCATCAGAACAGCAGCTCATGGAGGGGCAGGGCAGGGCAGGGGGACAAAAGCACCTGTGAGAGCAACAGAGAGAGCCTGCATTAGGACCTGGCAAAGGCCAGTAGCCCTGGAGAAGCCCCACCAGCCAATGCTGACTCTCTTCCCAGCCTGGCCTCCCTTGTGGAAGTGGCACAAGGAGTAAACAGAGCAAAATGAAGGCTCCAAAGGGTAGGGGCCGAGCTTCTGTATGATTAAATCACGGGTCTAGCCAAGGCCAAGACTGAGGGGTCCATGAGGCAAAGGACACTACAGACCACCCACTGGTGGTCTTACCTCCCCACCCCCCAACCTCATTCCACTCCAATGGATCTGGATCTCCCTTCAGTGATGGAGATGGCCCCCAGGAGGCTGAGATGGTGACTCCATCCAACATGCTGCAGACTCTCTTTCTCTTACCAGCTCAAGGGTACCAGTTGATCAATCAGAATTGATTACACACCTGCTAAGCGGCAGGCACTGTGCTGGGGATATAAACCCCAAATAACAATCATAGTGAGCATTTACATTGCATTTTGGTACTTATTTGATCCTCACAACACTCCTTGAAGGCAGGTGTCATTATTATCCCCACGTTACAGATGAGGAAACTGAGGGTGAGGGGGCTTAAACGACTTGTCCAAAGTGGTTGAGGCGATACTTGAACTCAGCTCTTGCTGACTCCAAGTCTAGCAGTCTATCCAGTGTGCCATCTAGCAGCCCAAAGCAGACAAAAGCAAGAAGAGTTTCTGCCCTCAAGGAACTTACACTCAAATGAAAGAGACAACTTGGAGAGGAAAGCACTAACATCGAGGGAGACCAGGAAAAGCCTCCTGGAGAAGGTGAGCTCTGAAGAAAACAGGAGGAGGAAGGAGAGAGAGCATGCTGTGCATTCGGGACAGCCAGAACAATGATGCAGAGGAATAGCAAGGGCAGTTTGACTAGACTATAGAGTACATGGAGGAGACTGAGATGTAAAAAGGCAAAGGAGACCAGTGAGTGGTCAGACAGGAAGGAAGCTAGCCAAGAAAGCAGTGTCACAAAGACCAAGGAGAGAGTGTTCAATGCTGCAGAGAAGTCAAGAAGGAGGAGAACTGAAAAGACACAATCAGATTTGGTGAATAAGACTTTGGAGAGGGCAGCTGCAGTAGAGTGATGAGGTCAGAAAAAAGACTGCAGAAGGTTCAGAAGACAGTGAGAGGAAAGGAAATGGAAGCAATGAGGGTAGACGGGGAATAGTAGGGTCCAGTGAGGGGTTACCAGTGGAGGGAATGGGTGAACCCTCACTGTCATCATGGAGCTAACCTACATTTTTGATCTTTTCTTTGATGATGTCATCCTTCATTCAGAACATGTCACAGTCTGCTCTCCTCTCCACTGCATTCTAGAGGGAGGGGGTGTTTGTTTTCAGTTCTTCAGAGACTACAGTATTTCATATCACACATGAAACATACATGAATTCTCAAGACAGCCCCATTCTTCTCAGCTCTACAAAAAACTCCCTAGAATGAACAGTAAAGAACAGCATCCTCTGGACGCAAGATGTTTGCAAGAGTGACCGCTGGAGACCAAAGCACAGGCATGGCCATGCATTCCAAGCCTGGGGTGATAGAAGAGCCCTAGAGGATAACTTCTTCCTGTCCTTCTGTTGATCCTGATCCCAGGTCAATGACCCATAAAATAACCAAGCCCAGGTTATCTTCCTGAAACCCAACCTAGACAACAGAAAGCAATGAACTCTTTCCACTGTAAGAACTGAGTGGGTCACTGTCCTCCTTCCATCGACTGTTACTGCAATGGCCGGATGACTTTTCTGCAGTAGTTGTCACTCTGTTCCCAGGGAATGGGTGGAGTGACTGATGGTCGAGGGGAGGGAATGACTGAGGTGAGGGGGAAGGGTGCCAGGGAACTTTTAGGATTGGTCTTTAAAGATGTGGTGGGGGTGTTCTTTCCATTCTCATGAGGCCTAAGGCTGTATTAATTGTTCTCTTACGATGTTTAATACCCCAAAGAGGGGTGGGCAGAAGTGGTCTTGTCTAGGTAGTGAGGCATGAGTGCTGGATTTGGAGTCAGAGGTCCTGAGTGCAAGGCCTGGCTCTGCCTACTTGTCTGTGACCTTGGGCAAATAATTTCCATCTCTTGGCCTCAGTTTCCTCATCTATTAAATGAGGGCCTTGGGCCTAGTGATCTCTAAAGTTTCTTACATCTCTAAGTCAAAGATCCTATGAGCCTATGAATGTGCTGGCTGCACTGTTTTACAAACTGCATGCTTGGATGGACAAGTGATGTTCTCCCAAAGCTAACGACCTTGTATTCTAAGAGCAGAGTTGTTCCAAATAGAGAACAGAGGAAAGCATGAGAAGCAGCTAGATGGGGCCTTCGAGGCCATTAAGTCTGAACTCACATCCCCTCAACACGCCCTCCAAGTGGCCATCCAGCTTTTGCTTAAAGACCTCTAGGGACAAGGCAGGGGGTGGGGGTTATTGGATTCCCATCTGTAATTTCAATTCCACTCCTGACCATTAGTACTTGGCTGGCCAGGCTGACCTCATCAAGTACAGGACATACTAGAGTAACTTCGCTGCCTTTTTTGACATGGTTACAAAAATGGTAAATCAAGAGAATGTTGGTTTTAGTAAAACATCTGATAGAGACATGTACAATCAGATAGCTTTGAAACTGGTTGGATGGCCCAAACGAGAGTTATTAAAGGTTCAATGGTCGACTTGGAAAGAGAGTTCAAGTAGAGTGTCCCAGGAATCTACGGGTAGCCCTGTCCTATTGAATGCTTTTTTCAACGACTTGGACAAAGTTATAAATGGCATGCTTATCAGATTCACAAATGACAGAAAGCTGGGAAGGGTAAATAAGAGTCAAGATCATGACAGGCCAGAACATTGGGCTGAATCTAATTAGATTCAATTTAATAGGGATAAATGCAAAATGAACTTGGGTTCAAGAAGTCCACTTCACAAGTACAAGATGGGGAAGGAGTGGCCAGATGGCATTTTGAAGAAGATTTGAGAGGTATGGTGGATCCTAAGGCTCATATCACAAAACCACAGAACTGGAGAGCTGAAGTGGTCCATACACAAGGGAATCCCCATTAGAAGACACCCAACGAAGGGACATGTGACCTGTGCTTCAAGACCTGGGGGTGGGGTGGAGATCCCTTTTTGGAGGCTCTTCCCCATGCTGGCTGCCCTCCTCTGGAAACTCTCCAGCACACCGATGTCCTTGATATGAGTTACCAATGTTGACTTAGAGGCAGCTGGTGGTACAGTGGCTAGAGCACTGAGCCTAGAACCAGGAGGACCTGAGTTCAGATCTGGCCTCAGACACTTCCTAGCTGTGTGACCTTAGGCAAGTCACTCTGTTTGCCTCAGTTTCCTTAACTATAAAATGGAGTTAACTTACCTTGCAGGGTTGTTGTGAGGACCAAATAAGATATTTGTAAAAAGCACTTAGCCCAGTGTCTGGCACATAGTAGGGGCTATAGAAATGCTTGTTCCCTTGTCTTCCCCTCCCCCTTCCCAACAGAAATAAATACAAGTTTAGGGTCCTGGTGAAGCACAGTATCCAGGATTGGGAGGTGATAATCCCACTGGATCCTACATTGGGCAAATCACGTCTAGAATTCTCTATGTTCATTCTAGAGAGCGCCTTTTATAAAGGACATCGAGAAGCTGGGGGACATCCAGAGCAGGGAGAACAGGACGGGGAAGGGCCTTGAGTCCATGTCACATGACTCCGGGCTGTTTAGTTCTGAAAAGAGAGGCCTCTGAGGCGACTTGAAGGGATGTCTCCTGGAATAGTGAGGGAACTTGTTCTGCTTCAGTAAAGTCAGTAAAACCCCAAATGACGTCCATGATAACTAGAGTAACATTAATAAAAATGACCTCTAAAAGAAGGCTGAATGCTGAGTAATGACAATCATCAGTCTCGATCCTGGAGAATTGAATTCAACTCAACAAGCATTTATTCAAAGCAAACTCAATGCCAGGTACTACTCTAGGGGGCAGAGAGACAAAGGAAAAACAAACAAACTGAAACAGTCTCTGACCTCAAAGAGTTTGTAGCAGGGGTTTGCTAGTAAGTGTTTAACAACCGGCTCTCAAAAAAATGTACTCATGACACTTTTAAGTTTAATCTGCATTATCAGTATTGTCTCTATCACTTTATTAAATCTATACAACCAAGAAAACAATAAATCAAGCCCTGATTTGTAGCCTTTGCCAATTTCTAAGCTGTACAAGCTCATACTGAAAATTTAACAATTGCCTCCCATCTCTCCTCATTCCTATCCATTCTTCACACAGCTTTGAAAATGCTTTTCCTAAAGCATAGATAGGTCTGACCATGTTACTAACCTACTCCCTATTACCTCTAAGTACAAATACGAGCCCCTCTGCTTAGCATGTGCTTTATGACCTGGCCCCAACCTACCTTACCAGACTCACTTCATGCCTCCTTTGGACCAGTCACACTGGCCCTCTTCCTGTTCCTCTGGCCTTTAGCCCCCAAGTCTAGCTTGGGTACACTTCCCTTCTCCCCTCCACCCTCTGGCTTCCAGCCTCAGCTCATGCACCCCATCCCACACGAAGCCTTTCCTACTCCCTTCAGCTGCTACTGCCGTTCCTTGACAATTATTCTGCCTATAGTTTTTCAATTTTATTTTTTATTCTGAAGCACCAAAAAGAGCATTTTCACACACACAGCAAAACACAAAAAGTAGATTCGATATGAAACCATGAATTTCCATTTCATGCCATTTGCTTTTTTTTTTTAAAAAAAGCAAGTCAGTTCTACATATTACTTTCAAAACTTTCTTGCTCATCTGCACTCCCTTCTGAACCTCTTTCTGTTTTCTTCTGTGCATTTTTTAAAAAGTTTCAATGGCCTTTTTTGGGGGAGGGGGCATCACT